TCAGAGATTCATCTAATCATGTAACTGTAATCCCCTGTATTTTCAAAACAAATACCACATAATATAGGTTCAAATTCACGGGAAATATACTTCATCATTCCTAAATGCTCTTGTGAGGAAATACTGAACCAAAAGATGACCAAAAACCAGCAGAGCAATCTCCAAAATATGCATCTCCATGTCTGGTGTCAAAGAGTTCTTCAGATCTATGACTCCTTTGTGCTTTCTTCACTGCAGCACAATTCTTTCTCTTTGGCTGGTTTTACTCCCTCAAAGCAGTTTTCCTGAGCAGGTGCTACATAGCTCTGGCACCTCAAAATCTTGGGATCCTCAAGGTAACTTCAATATCATTGCTTTATGTTCCCGTATCTTGGATCCACATATGATCTTCTGCACATCATAAAAGACAGTGGGTCATTTCTACAACTCTTCCCTCTATACCACTCTAGGTTCTGGTTGACTCCAGTCTGCTGCAGCTGCTGCTGCTGCTCTTTCTACTAATCCCATGGCACTGACATCTTCAATATGCTGGGTCCTCCTGCTGCAATTAGGCTTCACTGCTTTCCTCTCATACACTCCCTTCATGGGGCCAAGCCTTAGCTGTTCTCCATAACACATTCATGCCTTAAAAAGGGTGCTATGTTAGTGATATTTACACATAACCAAAACCATCTGCACCATAAGGTACAACCTTGACTGTCTCTGGAACACAGCTTCATTGTCCTCTCAGAAAACACTCCCCTAAGATTTCACCTCGGTGATGATGGTTCCTCTTCAACACTGAAATTTTTTTTAACTATAGCTAACCAGTATCAACTGTGTCAGTACTCCCTTCTACTCTTGCCTCTAAAGCCAGAGGCACATGGACAAAGCTGCTGAGTTCTGCTGCTTTCTGGGGCTGAAACATGGCCCTTCTATTACATTATAACCAGCTTTCTAATTTTCAACAACTTCACTGACTAAGCTTGGTGCTACTGGAACTTACTCTGTAGTTTAACCTTGAACTCAGAGGTATGCATGGCTCTGTCTCCTGGATAATGGGATAAAAGGTTTATGTGTGACACTTTGTCTAAGGATTTCTTTACCTACAACTTGTTCTGGACCAGGATGACTAGAACCAGAAATCTGCTGACTCTCTTATGCGATTTAAGGCATGTACCACCATGCCTGAATCTAAATATTTCCTTTTAGATCTTAAATTGAAAACACAGAAAAGAAACGACAATCCATCCTTTGTCAATTTTACACATACTTGTATCTCCTTATGCCCATATGGAAACAATAACCAGATAATAATAGTGCCTATCATGATACAATTCTCCTTCATACAACTTCACATCCATATGTTTATGTGGATGGAATCTTCCCATAACATCACCATTTCTTTAATACCATCAGATATCTTTCATCACAGGATTTACCTTAATTCAAGTTCCTGGTGACCCATTTCTCTTTAAACCTAATATTTTATATTTTTCTTTTCTAAGATTACTAAGCATAATCAACCCAATCACCATGAGAGTAAACACAGGCCAAAGGCTATACTTGGCTTTCCTGAGACTTTATTTATCAATGCGATCAACATAAACCTCCTTACCTTAGCCTCAAGACACTCTTCAGACAAGGGAAAAAGGCAGCAACATTCTTCATCAAAACATCATAAAAACTATGTACAAAATTCAAATCAAACTTAGTACATATGCATGTGTTCCATTTCCCTACTAGAATGGACCGTTGAGTTCCACTTAATGTATGTACCAATCCAAGGTCTAAAAATCCACATTGCTCCAAAGAAAAACATCATCAAGACTATCATAACAATACTTATGTCTGGGGTACCAACTTCTGTCTTAGATAGAATTTCCATTGCTAAGAAGAGACACTGTGCCCAAGGCTACTGTTTTAAAGGCAAATAGTTAATTGGGCCTGGCTTACAGTTTCAAATGTTTAGTCAGTTACCATTATAGCAGGAAGGAGAGCAGCATGCAGGCAGCCATGATCCTGGAGATGGAGCTCAGAGTTTTACATCTTCATGAGGAGGCATCCAGGAAGGCACAGTCTTCCAGCCAAACAGTAGCAGGGTCTGTTTTATCCTGGCCAAAGCTCCAAAGACCACCATTATAGGAATTCACTTCCTTCACAACACTACTACCTACTTCTACAAGGCCAAACATCTTAATATTGCCACTTCTTTGGTCCAAGCATATTCAGATCACAGCAGTTTACTTCTACTATGAATTCTTTCACGCATTTAAATATGATTAGGACATGTAGAGGCTTAACACTCTGATTATTTTCAGAAGGTTGCTCTCTAGTATGTGTTCATTTTTGTATTCAGAGACTACTGTGGCATGGATAGGATTTTCCAACTTGAATACATTCACAAGGTTTCTGTTCAATATGTGTTCTTCTATGTCTTTGGAAACTATAGTCATATGCACAGGACTTTCCATGTTCATTTGATTCATAAGGTTTCTCTAAAGTGTGTGTTCCTTGAAGTACATAGAGGGTACAGTGACATGCAAAGTCTTTACCACATTCATTACACTCATAGGGCCTCTCTCCACTATGTGGTCCTTCATGTATTTGGAGACAACTGTGATATACAAAGGCTTTTTCACACTGATTAAATTCATGAGGCTTCTCTCCTGCACATTTTCTTTTGTGTATTCAAAAATGACTGTGTCCTGGAAGGCTTTACCTCATTCATGACATTCATGTAGTTTCTCTATAGTATGTGTTGTTTTATGTATTGGGGGATAACTGTAACTCCCAAGGGCTTAATACACTGATTACCTTGATAGGATTGTTCTCTTGAATGTGTTCTATTATGTATTTGCAGATGACAGTGAATTCACAAGGTTTTACCGCAGTGATTACAATAACAGGGGTTCTCTCAAGAGTGATTTTTTTTTTTTTGGTTTTTTGAGACAGGGTTTCTCTGTGTAGCCCTGGCTGTCCTGAACTCACTCTGTAGACCAGGCTAGCCTCAAACTCTCTAACTCAGAAATCTGCCTGCCTCTGCCTCTCAAGTGCTGGGATTAAAGGTGTGTACCACCACCGCCCAGCCAGAGTGATTTTTTTGTGTGTGTAAAGAATGATGATATACAAAGGCTTCTCCCTGATATATGCTCTTTTATCATAATAGAGACTGCAAGGTTGTGAAAATTCTTTAACTCATTGTTTACATTCATGAGGTTTCTTTCCAGTATGAGTCTTTTATGTTTTGGAAAGTAGTGGGATATACAAAGGCTTTAGCACATTGATTGCTGTCTTAGTCAGGGTTTCTATTCTTGTACAAACCATCATGACCTATAAGAAAGTTGGGGAGCAAAGGATTTATTGAGCTTACACTTCCATGTTGCTGTTCCTCACCAAAGGTTGTCAGGAATGGAAATAATCAGGTCAAAAAAAGGTGAGGCAGGGGCCATGGAAGGATGTTATTTACTGGTTTGCTTCCCCTGGCTTGACATCACACTACTTACTAGAGGAACAATGGATAGAGGCAAAGAGGATATGAGGACAACAGATCAAGGTTGTCTAATGCCCAAAATTAACCTATATGACTCACCTTCCCAGGGAACAGGTAACTTCCTGGAATACTGAAGTTGTAGTTCTTGGAAAATAACAAAGTCCCATAGAACCCAAGACTACCATCCCAAGAATGATGAGACCCACAGTGGGCCCTCTCACCTTATCACTAAATCAGAAGATGCCACACAGCTGAATCTCATGGAGGCATTTCCTCAAATGGAGCTCCTTTCTCTGTGATAACTCCAGCCCGTGTCAAGTTCCACACAAAACCAGCCAGTACAATTACATTCATAGTTCTTCTCCAATATGGGCTCTTTTATACTTTTGCAGAAAATAACTTTGTAAAAAGCCTTTTGTCACATGGATTATATTAATAAGATTTCTCTCCAGTATGTGGTCTTCTACAGTTTTGGAGACATCTCCCTTGTAAGTAGGCTTTATCACGTTAATTACATTCTTAAGGGTTATTTGCACTATGTTTCCTTTTATGATATTGTAGAGTACGCTGTTGTGAAAATGCTTTACCACATTGAGTACATGCATGAGGTTTCTCTCCATTATGTGTTCTTTTGTGACTTTTGAGATTACTGTGATATGAAAATGCTTTACCACATTGATTACATTCATAAGGTTTCTCTCCAGTATGGGTTCTTTTATGATATTTTAGAGTATTCCATTCTGAAAATGCTTTACCACACTGATTACATTCATAAGGTTTCTCTCCAGTATGTATTCTTTTATGATTTTTGAGAGTACTGTGTTTTGAAAAGGCTTTACCACACTGAATACATTCATAAGGTTTCTCTCCAGTATGTGTTCTTTTATGACATTGGAGAATACTCTGTTGTGAAAAGACTTTACCACATTGATTACATTCATAAGGTTTCTCTCCAGTATGTGTTCTTTTATGATGTTGGAGATCACTGTGACAAGAAAAGGCTTTACTACACTGATTACATTCATAAGGTTTCTCTCCAGTATGTGTTCTTTTATGTCTTTTGAGAATACTCTGATCTGAAAAGGCTTTACCACAGTGATTACATTCATAAGGTTTCTCTCCAGTATGTGTTCGCTTATGACATTTGAGAGTACTGTATCTTGCAAAGGCTTTACCACAATGATGACATTCAAAAGGTTTCTCTCCGGTATGAGTTCTTTTATGATATTGGAGATTAGTGGGTCTTGTAAAGGCTTTACCACATTGATTACATTCATAAGGTTTCTCTCCAGTATGTGTTCTTTTATGACATTTGAGAGTACTGGATGTTGTAAAGGCTTTATCACAATGATTACATTCATAAGGCTTCTCTCCCGTATGTGTTCTTTTATGATATTGGAGATGACTGGGCCTTGCAAAGTCTTTACCACACTGATTACATTCATATGGTTTCTTCTCACTGTGACTTCTTACATGCCTGCAATGATAATTGGCACAAGTGAAATCTTTACCACTGTCATTATCCTGATCAATCATTTAATCAATATGAATTAATTTTACAGTTTGGTTTAATAATAAAGAAGAACCATATCTTAAGGTAATATCACTTCCTATACTCATAGTGTTCTCCGCAGCTATGACTTGATGCCTCTTTGAAATAACCTGTGATGACAAGAACATTTACTACATGTCTCACAGGTATAACATCCTTTTTCTCTATGAGGGTACTATATGATATATTTCATGTATCTGAAGGAAAATGCAAAAAAGGAGACCTTTGTAACACTGATTATATTCATAAATTTTCTGTAGTGTGAATCACTCCACATTAGCGCTGTGAATCAGGAAAAACAGAAAAATTTACACTTTTCTAGTACCCATGGGGATATTCTCCAGTGTGACTTTGGGGATGTTCCCTGTAAAGTCAGAAAACCAATTAGTTGCAAACTTCTACAATATTCAGAAAATCTTTCAAAGGGAGAATGCTACATATCTTCTTACTGTTCTGGAATAAAGATAGGGATGTTGCTCCTTTAAATATTCCTATGCTCACATAGTTTTTTTTTTTTATTCTGACACTTGATATACACATAAAAAGAAGAAATGAAAGCTTTCCGCACTGATTTAACACCAGTTGAGTTTTTGTTTCTTCTAGACATACTGTATAAGGATTGAGGTTTCTCCAAGGCAACATTCTTGACTCTCATAAACTGACCTCTCAGTAAATTTAGCAATGTCACTACAAAAATATGAGTATCACTGAATTTACCAGGGACTATGTACTTACTGCATGGCTTTGGATATATGTTTATCACTATTCAATGTGCAACATCTAAGTATTAGGAGACTGATCAGATTGGTAGTTCCACAGCATTGCTTTAATGGAGTTACAAATCAAATAAATGTATCTCTTAAGGCATTGTTTCTATGTCTCCTTCCTTAGAGAAATGCCTTGCAAACACAAGTCAGATAACTGACATTAAGGCCCATGGCTTTGTGAGAATATTTTAATCATAGCTATAAAGGAATTACAGGACTGATATCATAGCTTAAAGAACTGATATTTTACATACTTCCTTTACTTTACAGTTTCCAGGACATATTAAAATTGCCTCAGAGGCATATATGATTCAGTTTGCACATTAACATTACCTTTTGTATCGTCTAGTATTTTGAAATTCTGTTTCAATATGGTGGTCTTTCCAATTGTACCCTAAAACACAGTATGAGAAAATGAATGATATAGTATTGGAAATTAGGCAAAAGTCAACTTACTGTGGTTTTTCACAGCACTGACTCTGATTTGTTTTACTCAGTCTTCCATGTCCCCAATTCAAATAGCAGAGTGTCATCAATAGTCAAGAAATATTTGTCCCCTTATTTTGAAAAACAAAAGAAAATTCACAGTCTTACCTATATCAGTGAGGTTCCAGTAGGTCTCCAGCATCACATCTTTGTAGAGATTCTTCTGGGAAGGGTCCAGCAAATCCCACTCTTCTTTAGTGAAGTTGATATGCACGTCATCAATATTTATTGCATCCTAAAATATGTGTAAAACACAAACCATGATAATGACATCACTGTAAATAAATTTTTGCTTCCTAGACAATATAATCATACATTTCTGGTGCTACTATCATCTATTTCTTTGACACAGAAGTTATAATCTAATCTCTATGTCATTTTATTAGGAACTTGTATTATGACAGTTGCATGTGTTGCTTCTGAACCCACTGAAAAGGATATAGCTTTGCAAGAGAAATGCCAATTGAGAGGGAGATGGAGAGGGAAACAGACCAACAGCACTGAGCACACATTAAAGGAATTATATGAACAATAAGTAAGTACATAAATGATATAAATTCTGGGTGGTTTTGGTCATGTCTTTAATCTCAGAGGCACAGGGAGCTGTATGTCCTTGAGCTTGATGCCATCACGGTCAATGCAACAAGTTCCAGGACAGCAAAAGTTACATATTAAGACACTCATGCCCCTGTGAAAATCAACCAAGGAGGCAGAGATGATAGAGAGAACTCATAGTTCTTTCCTGAAGTTCCTAAAAAGAAATAGACATTCAAAGCAGTTCTGCATTCATCTTAGAGAAATGTAAAGTGTACCAGTTTAAAATGCTACATTAATAAAATTTTACTAAAACGGAATAAATGTTTAAACAGATTCAAATGGACAGATAAAAATATTAATATCTACATGTTGATCATAAATAAGCAACATAGGGCGGGAGAATGAGATAACTCAGAAGTGGAAAGTTCTGGCTGGTCTTCCACATAATGGTGGTCAATTTCAAATATCTACATGGGGACTAACAACTACCCATAACATGAAGATCAAGAGTTCTGAGGACACATTCTGGCAAAAATAAAGAACAGGTACATATGATAATCATATTCATCCACACAGGTAAAATACTCCTATTTGTCCAAACATTTCAGAAGAAACACAGGAGTAAGGCAGAACATCATACACCTGGAATCCAATGACTCTGAAGCCTCAAGTAGTATTGAGATCATGAGCATATGCCATCTTTAGAAATAAAATATAACCTACATATTTGGACATATTTCAAAATTTAAGATGTGGATGAAGAGCAGCACAGAAGCCTGTACTTATTTTACAATAATATGTCAGGTGGCTTGTGTGGATTCTATATCTACTATCAAGACAGGAAGGGCTTCATAGAGAAATTTTGTCTTGGAAAAACAAAAAGAATCAAGTTGAAAATATAAAACCAACAGGCTTGCAAAATAGATTAACACTGAATAACAAATATTTATACAGTATCTTACGTGATTTAGGGACAGAGACCAACTTGGGAATGTATGGGATCATGAGAACAAAGCTGAAGGATCAAATTCAACAACACAGTTGACACACAGAACAAAATTTGTCCTATCTAAAGAAATGCAGGGTATGGCTATAGCAGAGATTGAGGGATTGGCCAATGAAAACTTGCCCAAATAGAGACCCACCTTACTTGCAAGCTTTAATCCATAACATTATTAAGGACACTCTGTTATGATCCCACACAGGAGCTTTGCATAATTGTCCACTGAGAGTCTCCACCCTGCAGCTTACTGAAACAGCTTCAGAGAACAACAGTCAAACATTGAATGGACCTTGGGGACTGTTATGGAAGAGTTGGGGGAAGGATTGAAGGTCTTCAAGAGGATAGGAACTACACAGTAAGACCAACAAACTCAAATATTATACAGCTTTTAAAATCAATGAATTTATATAAGAGTTCCGTTCCCAGCACCCACGGCTCTCTCTTCAGACACACACACATAAAAAAAAAAAAAAGAATTTCAGAAATTCTTAGGTAAATGTATGGAACTAGAAAATGTCCACCTGAGGGAGGTGACCCTATCACAAAAGAATACACATGGTATGCACTCAATGGCAATTGCATATTGGCCCAAAAGCTCACACTCTCTGAAAATCCAAAAATCGAATAGTAACCCAGGAATAAAACCTTAAAGCAAACAAGACAAACACAGAAACCAGTACCTAGATCAATCATGACCTCAAACCCAGATACCTAGATACCAGCGTAGGAATCTAATAAATAACAGCAAGGAAAATATGTCATCAAGAAATACAAGCTATCCTATCACAGCAGGTCATTAGAAATCAAAATATGTAACAGATATTTTACAAAAGAGGTTGTTTGGGTAAAGTGAGACGAGTGAGAACCTGTAGAAGGGATAGAAGTACACAAGAGGACCTACAGACAGACAGACAGACAGACAGACAGACAGGGAGCAGAGAGAGAGCCATGAGGGTATAAACAGAGACTAGAGAAGGGGCATGTGCAGAGAACAGGGACAGGGAACAATCATAGAGAGCAGCAGTATTTGGTGGTATATAAAGCACACTCGAGAACAGCAGCAGGTGGGGGAGGCAGGGAATGACTTAAGCATTTGCTAAGTCCCTGAAGGTGGACAATTGAAATTGTCTGTACACTGACAACTACAGAGGCAAGGTTCACTCACAGAACAGAAAGGGAAGATAAATAGAAAAAATGGACAAATTGGTGAAAAACAAAAATGTTGAATCTAATAGTATCATGGACATAAGCAACTAGGAACACTGCAACATATGAAAAGGCAAAAAACTAGAGATGATTGGAAGAGAAAAAGAGAATATCAGCTCAAAAGTCTGTAAATTATTTTCAAGGAACTCATAAATGGAAAATTTCCTAAACTAAAGAAGATGATGCCTATTATGGTAAAGAAGCATCGAACATACCAAATACATTAGACAAAAAAAAGTCCCTTTGCCACATAATAATCAAAACACTAAACATATAACGAACTATAAACAACTGCAACAAAAAATTGATAAAAACTAAACAAAATATAAACAAGTAACATATAAAAGTAGACCTATTACATATATGCCTGTCTTTGTTTTTCAAAGGTGGGTGGGGTTTTGAGACCGGGTTTACTGTGTAGCCCTGGGTGATCTGGAACTCACTCTGTATACCAGCCGGGCCTAAAACTCAGAACTCCACCTGCCCCTGCCTGCCAAGAGCTGGAATTAAAGGTGCGCACCACCACTGCCCAGCATACCTGTCTTCTTAATGTATAGTATAAAAGAAAAAGTGTTTGGACACGTTTGCTGCAGATTCAAAGAAACTATCCATGTTTCTCCAAGCAAACAAATGATCCAAATGTTTTGGGCAAATTCAGAATCAGCCATGATAGTGAAGTTACTCATAGGTCACCAACTGATTTGGCAACTGAGAAACACCACAAGGGGCCACACAGGTGGTCACATCTGGCTGATGGTTTCCCTCCAGCCCTAGAAAGGAACCACCAAACCAGCTCCCACTGCTCAACCACCTGCTCCTCCCCATTGTGGACATTTTTTTCCTGTACTCACCATGTCTCGATTTCAGAGCTTCCCTGGGG